CCTCCCGAGTAGCTGGGACTACAGGCATGCGCCACCATGCCCGGCTAATTTTTTCTATATATATTTTTTTAGTTGTCCAGATAATTTCTTTCTATTTTTTTAGTAGAGACAGGGTCTCGCTATTGCTTAGGCTGGTCTCGGACTCCTGACCTCGAGCGATCCACCCGCCTCGGCCTCCCAGAGTGCTAGGATTACAGGCGTGAGCCACCGCACCTGGCCTGAAGTCCCCTTTCTGTTCATCCTGTCCAGTAAAGAAAAATGATGCAAAATTGCCAAGAAATATTCCTGTGGAGACTGGTTACTTTGCTCTACTCCCCTCCCTGAGCCCCACACAATCCCCATATATCCCAATATCTATACCTACACTGGAAGATACAGTACTCACTAGCCATGTGTGGTTATTTTGATTTAATTAAAATTAGGTAAAATTTAAGATTTGGTCCCACATTCGCACTTGCCACAGTTCAAGTGCTTAATGACCAGTGACTACCATATTGGACAGGAAAGATATAGACCATTTCCAGCAAGTTCTCTCAGACAGCACTAGTCTGTATAACCAAAACCAGCGATGCCAGAAGCAGATTGATAGGTGTGACTTTGTGGCACCAGCCAGAGACATGAGCGGTGTTTCCAGCATCTTTCTCCACTCCTCTCTGCCTTCAGGGATCTCTTCAATGCTGCATTTGTGTCCTGCTGGTCTGAACTGAATGAAGACCAGCAGGATGAGCTCATCAGAAGCATCGAGTTGGCCCTCACCTCACAAGACATTGCTGAAGTCACACAAACCCTCTTAAACTTGGCTGAATTCATGGAACACAGTGACAAGGTGAGACTTTTTCCCATTCTCCAGATGGAGGCTGACAGGGAAGCAGCTGGTGGGAAGCATCCGTGCAGCCCTCTCTTGTTTGTGTCCCATCTGCCATTTTCCTATGCTGTGGGGTTTTGCTCTCCTCTAGGGCCCCTTGCCTCTGAGAGACGACAATGGCATTGTTCTACTGGGTGAAAGAGCTGCCAAGTGCCGAGCTTATGCCAAAGCACTACACTACAAAGAACTGGAGTTCCAGAAAGGTCCCACCCCTGCCATTCTAGAATCTCTCATCAGGTAGGCCATAAGCCCTTTTTAATTGCTGCCTCCATCCAAAATGACCTCTCTTCTCCCACTGACTGGTGCCACTTCCCTGGAGTCACTTGGAGGCTTCTGGTCTGTGAAATCTGCCTCCAGGTCTGGCCAACACGTTTAAATGACATGTGGTTGCAGATGGCTCTCTCCAGTAGTCTAGTCATAATTGTCATTTCTGTTGACCCTTACCATCTGGGCTTCTGCTGTTTTCTAACCTGTGCTTTCCTGTCCCAGTGAAATTAGTTTAAAAGCAATGCTATGCCACAGCAGCCTAGGAAAGATCGATTTTGTGTCTGGGTTAGATTGCACCCTCTAGGGCTGGAATAGGTTGTGCCAGTTCCCAGGCTTCCAAGGCCACCCAAAGGCAAGGTGGGGTTTTATTGACTAAATCTATTGGTGGCCGAGTCTTCTTCCCCTGGAGTTTTATGAATATCAAAGGCAGAACAAAGTCTGAGATCTGATCATATTTTCCCTGATTTGGTTATGTTCTCTCATAAGACAGTTTTGAATCTTTTGGGTATGAAAAAAATAGGTTATTTAATAAATTTTCTGCTGTTATGAAATGAGCAGCAGCTCCTAGAGAACTGCTTACTTCCCCTAATGATTATCAGAGAATATTAACACTGGGATCTAATTATCTTCATGTAAATGCTAACATATGTGATCATTTTTACTGCAGATAGTGAAATAAAAAGTCTTCCTTTAAACACTTTAAAAAGTGACTCAAAAAGTAGAAATAACTATGCCATCCTGTGAGGCATGCTTCAGTTTCACATTAAGCATAGTCAATGTGAAAACCTGCATTTCTTCCTCCATCTCTGGCTTAGGAATGCAGTCTCACATAGTAACTAACAGAAAATCTGGTAACTGAGTATGAAAACTTCAGTGTCAAATAACTCATTTTGCATATTCATTTTCTTGCTAACCTTTTTCTGTTTGAGACCTATCTAAACCCTGCCTCAGCCCACCCTTGATTTTTCCCCGTATCTGAGACAATTATAGAAACATTAAGGTTTATGCAGATTTATAGTAGAAAGATACAGTCAGAGGCCTGGAAAAGTACTCAAGAAGGTCAGTTAGCTTCTTAAGCAAATGTAATTGAAAGTAAGTCCTCAGAATTCCCTGCAGATTGATTTTGGCTTTTTTTCCAGCGCTATTCATGGGAAAGCCAGTGTGCTCAGCCTCCAGGTTTCCTTGGCTGAGTCAGCTCAGCATGCGGCTCTGCCTCCCTGCAGTTGGTCTCCAGTATCTTCCCATCACCTTTCTTTTTTGTTTCTATTTGCAGCTTTTACTTCTAAGTTTGTAAAACTACCTTTCCTAAGCCCTGTTGTGCTGTTATGCCATCATCTTTACTGAAGAAAGTTTTAAGACACAACCTGAGACAAAGCTGCTATTAAGGAAGTTGCTCACAACACTACCCCCGTCCTATGGGTGAGCCTGGTGGAAACTCCTCCCAGGAGTCCGACCGCTGGTGATTGTACGTCCCTGAGCCACTACTTTGGTCCACTCTTGGGGCGTCACTTTTTGGTCCTTTCTTCACAGTGGCTACTGGAGAGCTCACAGATAAATTCCTGGTCCACCTCCAACAAATTACAGACATTTTACCTGTTTTGACTACTAACCCTCCCCACCGAGCTTTATTTTATTTTTCCTGCTTTTATTTTCCCTTCTCCAATTTGTCTACTTTTTTAGAGCTTATTATACATTTGAGTCAACTGCCTTAAATTCTTTTTGAAACAATCAGGGTAACCCTACGCAAAAATATCTTTGTGCAGCTTTTTTCTATTTTTTGTTTTTGTTTTAAAAAGCCGTGTTTTGCTGACAATATTGTTCTCTTGCTGCTGGTTCAATCTGTCTTCCTACCTATTGACTTTTACCTATGTGCTCCAGGACAAATTAAATCTCATGTGTAATCCCCAAACCAGGGCTGACACTGAAATAGTATAAACTACTCCTATCTCCTCAAAGCTCATGTATCAGTGAATATAATTGTTTCTTAAGGGGACAGAGGATTAAGTGGGTATTTGATTATTAGGAAACATACACATGCAACTGTGGGACTTTTCCTTGGTTAGGCCAGAGCTTTAGGGTAAGGTCAGCTGGCCTGCTTTTGTTTCTCTACCTTAAGTAGAATAGAGGGTCTCATCAAAGCTGGATACTTTCACTGCCCAGCCCTTGACATGGAATCCCCTTTATAAAAGTTTTTCTGGGGCCGGGCGCGGTGGCTCACGCCTGTAATCCTAGCACTCTGGGAAGCCGAGGCGGGTGGATTGCTCAAGGTCAGGAGTTCGAGACCAGCCTGACCAAGAGCAAGACCCCGTCTCTACTAAAAAATAGAAAGAAATGATCTGGACAACTAAAAAAAATATGTGTATATAGAAAAAATTAGCCGGGCATGGTAGCACATGCCTGTAGTCCCAGCTACTCAGGAGGCTGAGGCAGTAGGATCGCCTGAGCCCAGGAGTTTGAGGTTGCTGTGAGCTAGGCTGATGCCACGGCACTCACTCTAGCCAGGGCAACAGAGTAAGACTCTGTCTCAAAAAAAAAAAAAAAAAGTTTTTCTGATTGAAACATCTGCAAAATTAAAAATCAAAACGGGGCCCAGTGCTCCCTAGGTGGACATGCAGCACTAACAACTGCCTGTCAGGCTGATTTGTCCTTTTTTTTTCTTTCTTTTTCTTTTTTTTAAAAGAAGCAGGTCTCACTATGTTGCTCAGGCTGGTCTCGAACTCCTGGCCTCAAGCAGTCCTCCAACCTTGGCCTCCCCAGTAGCTGGGACTACAGGCACAAGCCACTGCACCGGATTTGTCCATGTCTTTGGCATGGCACTCTTCTTTTTGGTACCTCTTTTTCTCACATATCATAAAGGATCTGGTCAGAACAAAACTTTCTTCACCTTCAAGAGCAACACTGAGGTCTCCTTTTGGTTCCTGGTGGTTCTGTCCTCTTTCAGGTCAGAGACCGTGCTATGCTCTCCTATCTGAATCCTCGGTATCTATCCGTCGTCACCCTACACCCGTACAGGTGCTTCAGAAATGTAGGTACTGTCAGAATCAGCTTCCCTGCAGGTGAAGTGGTTGGGGATGTTCTGTGCATTCTTTGACAACGGCTCTCCCTTTTCCCTCTGCCCCCTCTCTGAGGAGTTTCTTCCAAAAATATGAAGGAAACCACAGAAGTGGACTTAAAAGCCTCACTTTTTTTTAGTTGTGTGGTATACAGGAGATGAGATAGGAAATTATTAGCTGCTTTTGCCATAGGCATCTTCCTCTTTTTCACTCCTTTTAAGCCCCCGATATTTTTATCTTCTTTTTCCTAGCAGTATGGTGCTGAGCATCTCGGATGCTCCTGCCTGCTTGAGGAAGTTTCTATTTGAATGTCTGTCCCAGGAGAAGCCCTGAAGTCCCATGAGTAGCCCTAAACTACTCCAGTGTAGTTCTTCACACTTTACTTCTTTGAAAATCTCTGAGGTTCTTATTTTTAAGGTAAAGTAAGTTCCTAGCAATCAGAGTACTGTAGGTACAATAGAAATACTAAGTGTAATGGCTTGCTTTGCACTGACTGGCTCAGGGGGATGGTTCTTTTTGGAAAAGAAAATGACTTCCTAAAGGTCAAAATTACTTGACACCCATTATGGTTGAAGATATTTTTCCTCTCTATGTGTTTAAGTAGAAAGTAGGAGAGTGTTTGCAGAGTATTTTGAAACCAAGTAGTGGCAGTGGCCTCCGTGGGGGTTGGTTGGGAGGTCCAGGATCTGATCTCTTCCCAGTGGCTGCTGCCCTTTTTGACCCTCATCTGTTCCGTTTTGGTTTCCGGCTTCTCCCTTGGTTTCCCCAAATACTGAAACACTCAGAGTCTCTTTCTTATTGCTTACTCTCCGATTTGTCACTTTAACTTTTTACTGTGTTCTAAATGGTGATGGTAAGAACTAAAAAAGAAACTACTCAAGTTTTGAAAGTGTTTATTGTAGAAAGAAAAGAAACTTTGAACATTTAAAACAAAACCATAATATTTTATTTTTACAAAGCAAGATGCTTATGTACAGCATGAATTATTAACCAGAGTGCCATCTACCTTCATTTTTCAACCATTTTTTATAGACAAGATAAAAAAGGAAGCTCCTTGAGCTTGTTTCTTACAAAGTAAATAAAAATAGATATATCTGTATTGACTGTGAATATTTTAAGGCATTTTTGTGCAGGTGTCCATGAGGGACTCTGCCCACCCCCAGTGGGTGCCTTCCAGCGCTGCAGCTGATTGGGGCGAACAGGGGAGGTGCAAAGAGTCCAACTACAAGGCCCAGTGCCCTGGAGTTTCCTTCAAGCAAGTCCAGCCTGGGTCAGCTCACCTCCAGCCGAACAGTTTTTGTGTTTTAAAAGAAATGTGTAGACTAAAGATAATTTCACTGGATTTAAAAATAGAATATCCCTCATCCACCACCCTCTTTTGTTCCTTTCTCTAACACTCTAGGCCTCTCCTTGAGAATAAAAAGAATATCGTTCTTTTTAGCGAATCTATTTGTTTTTTGCCCTCACCTAAGCCTTAGAGAAAATGGATAAAACAATCTCACAATTATTTTTTTTTTCAAAGACAAATCATGTGGAAAAGCCAGCCTATTGCTATATCAGGATCATGGGCAGAGAGAGCCTACTCAGTCCAGCCCCCTGAGGCAGGACCCATTGTGTTTAAATGTTTCATCCCATTTACTGTAACATCGTGGTACATGTGATTTTACTGTGCTGCTCAGAGACTTACTCTTTCATTGGAGATGACGGGCCATTTCCCATCCCTACCCTTTCTAACACTGTCTTCCTCTCCTTCTCTGCCCTTGCACAGTCTCATCTGTCTGCATTTCTGGAGGCCTGCTCCACAGCAGCCTCCTTTTAGGGCTTGAAGTCTTCCGGGCGGATTTTCATCTCCACCCGTTTGAGGGAGTAGGTAGATCCATGCCAGCCGTACCAGGTGATGCCGTCCAGGTGCTTGTT